TGGTGGTGGGGAGCTGCCTAAGGAACAATGGCCAGTGGCTGTGGTAGGGCACCCAGGAGTGTGTGCCATGGTTTCCAGGACAGTGGTGACTATCACTGTGTGGCCGTAACTGGACGGATCGTTGAGCTTTTTATTCTTACACTAAGTAGCCCCAGATTGGGTCCTTTTTGATTTCCCAAATCTGCTTTTATTTATTACTAGAGGCCCGATGCATGAAATTCTGCAAGAGTAGACCTTCCTTCCCCTGGCTGCCGGCACCTGCTTCCCTCTGGCATCGGGGACCCGGGCTGGCTTCCCTCCAGACCCTGCTTTGTCCAGAAAGAAGTCCGGTCTAATTAGCATGTTACCCTTTTATTATTATAGATTCTCTCTCCTTCCTTAGACTGCTAGTTACCACTACTCACTATTCACGTACTTTGCCCTCTTCTTGCCATACAGAGATTTTTTTCTGGAAAAATCATATTCTCAAACTTGTTAGAATTACGCCTGAAATGTTCTGAGTATCTGACAGCTGTCCTGTGGATCAGACATGCAGTGTCTGGTTTCTCTTGGTTGTTCAGGGTCATTTCCATTGTTGAGGTTTCGGAGAAGTGAGGCTTCTAGAGAGCCTTGTGCACCTGCATACGGCTTCAGTGAAGTCCTCCGGTGGTGAGAGGAGTCTCTGGGGCAGGTAAGCTTGTTTATAGAGAAGATGAGGTTGCCTCTGTCTGTCCATCTGAACGCAGCGTGGCTGAGAGGCAGCTGTGCGCTCGGCTCCCTCTCAGTGCAGCTCGGCCGGCTGGTGGCTCGGGGCACTCCAGGGCTCCGGGCAGGACCAGCAGGCTGCCTTGCAGTGCTGTCAGCTGGTGCAGAGTTAGTTGCTCCTGCCCTCTGCCAGGTGTCCCATCTGGGAAGAGCCCTGTGACCTCCAGGCTGTGCAGAGTTAGAGTATTGGGTGTGACAATAGCTCTTGAAGAAAATAATGCTTTGAAAATGATTACCGAGATTTTACTGAGCAAGTGAGGACCATCCCTTCTGTGAACAGAGAGCTGACCCAAACCCAGTCTCTGTGTACAGGAAGAAGGAAATAGAAAGCAGTTGTCAAAATAACCCTGACATGAGTAACTGACCCAAACGGAATGATTCTACTCCGGGAATCAGACATGAGCCAGTGGGTGGGGGTGGGTGCTGAGGAAGCAAATGGTTAGAGTGTTTAACTTTGATAAAGCTAAAACACTGTGCTCAAGCTCCTCAGAAGCTGGGCATTCCTTCAGAGCCAGTGTGTGAATGGAGGCTGAGAGCCGTGGTTCCCAGCCTCTTGCTGGCCGTGCCCCACCGAAGCATCTCTTAAATCCTATGCCTCCCCTGTGACATGTAATTCTGATTATTGCAAAAGTGAGTTCCTGTTCACCCGGGAGAAGCCTTAAAGGCCGTTAACTTGGTCTTTACAAGCTTCCAAAGAACATGGCGTCCATGAAAGAGGAAAATTAAAAAAACAAAAGGACAGTTGAAGTTCTGAGGAATAAATCACTAAAATAGTTTTTAAAAAAATATGCAGTGATATGAAAAAATAGCAAATAAAGTCTCAAAACATAATAGAGTACTGAAATGTATAAATATGTCACAACATATATTTATATACTGTATATGAGTCCCCTAGAATAATAAGAAATGCAAAAAAAATTCACTATTAATAACTCATTCTTGAATTGCCCCCCTTAAAAATCAAATTGTCCCCCTGTGTTGGGAACCACTGGCCTAGAGTTACTATTTGCTGCGCATCAGAAAGTCATGAGGTAGCCTATAGGCAAATGGTAAGAGACAGGAGCATCGGGGATAAGGAAAACAGGTTTTGTTTTTCTTTAGTTCTGACTAATTTGTACCATTCAAATCATTCTTACAAGAAGAATGCAAAGTATTTCTCATAAATATTTTCATTAACTCCTTCATATGCCGAGAACATTTTTAAAGAAGCCAATCCCTGATTGACTGCTGATTTATGCAAGCAGGTTACAACTTAGCCAGGTCACGCCAGATATTTTTCTAATTTTATCCTATGTGTATTAGTATGCGGATTACTGATTTTCTCTCTGGAATACTCTGACCATTCCTGCCTCCTAACAGTCTAGCCCTTTTGTTCAGATTTTAATATTGGCTTCAATTATACTTTTTCAGGCAAAAAAAAATATCCATGGAGAAATAATCCTGTAACCAATGCTTTTGTGGAATCATGGTACCTTATCAGCATATACTAGTAGCTGGATAGCAATTTTTAAAAAAATCAGAATAACACTTACCTAAGTAAATACATTTGCATTCACATTTTGAATTATTTCTGATGCTAAGTGGGCATTTAGGGGAACAGAGTAGATGGTTCCAAACTAGGTGGAAAAATCATTTTTCAGCATATCAAAATATCAGCAATTCATTTTCAACAACACAAAAAAACAGGAACAAAAATTATGATACATTTCATATTCTAGAAAAACTGATTGCTTGAGAATCATGAAGCCTATGGTATTATCTGTATTACTTTGATACTGAATAGTGACAGTGTTTGCTTTAAATCAGTCAATTATTGCCATTGAATTCCATTATTTAAAACTGTGGCTTTTTTATTTGTTTATTTATTTATTTATTTATTTATTTAAAAATATATTTTATTGATTTTGTACAGAGAGGAAGGGAGAGAGATAGAGAGTTAGAAACATTGATGAGAGAGAGTCATCGATCAGCTGTATCTTGCACACCCCCTACTGTGGATGTGCCCGCAACCAAGGTACATGCCCTTGACCGGAATCGAACCCGGGACCCTTCAGTCCCCAAGCCTACGCTCTATCCATTGAGCCAAACCGGTTTCGGCAAAATTGTGACTTTTTTAAATGGGAGCTTACAACATGTACTTTTCAACCATGCTATTGGTGATTGTTTTCAGGGTTAATCTGAATCTCGTTTTATATTTAGAAGCTTATCCATAATGTAAATATAATGTAAATACACATGAATAGACATTGTTTCTAAAATTAATCTGAAGAAATAAAATGAGTAATCAGGAAAGACATTAACTTATTTTAGAAAGCATTTTTTTACTCAAAATGACTGAAGATGTTACTGATCATGCTTTGTAATATAAGGGACTCAAAGGGGCTTTCTGGATTGAATTATTTATAATTTGAATCAGTCTGTTTTTCATATTTGGTATTGTTCCTATATGTTGCTAAATCTCTGCATTGGCACAAATAGACATTGGGACTGCACTGAGGTGGGAAATGTGACTAAAGAATGGACATGCAGACTCTCGCCACCCTTCTTTGGTTGTGGTGTGATTCAGAGGCAGAAAGCCCCACAGCCTGAGTCAGAGGCAGGTCCACTTCGGGCACTGAGGGGCCTACCCACTGGGCCTTTTCTTGTATTTCTTGTTTTTGTGTGTGTGTGTGTGTGTGTGTGTGTGTGTGTGTTTTAAATTTCTTGCAAACCTAATTTTTTCTTTAAGAAATCATAGTGGGTCCTAAGAGGACCTAGTCCAAGTCAAATGTCACCCTAAACGGGCACAACAATAGAGTATGTCGGGTTTCTTTTATTCACATATTTGTTTTATGTCACCAAAAAAGATGAACCTTGTGTATCCTCACAGCAGACACTTGAGCGTACTGAATGGTAATTGTGATATAGTGAGCATGTGGTGAGCAGGTCATGCAAACATCCATGAGGGCAGAAGGCAATGTGGGCACAGGTTGAATTCATGAGACGAGATCTGAGTCCTGCCCTGCCCAGCTATGGCATGAGCAAGTTAGTAAACCTGTTGGAGGCTCAAGTTTATTCATCTGTTAAAGACAGGCGGCAAAAACAGCATCTGCTTCTTGGAGTTATAGCTTTCAAATTAGATAAAATATGTAGAAGTACTTGGTAAAGTACACATGTTTCTTGTTGTTATTTTTGATATATTAATGTGCATGTTCTTTGACCTGGAAGTGGATAACATTCACACAAATATACATTACATACCTGGAGGACTCTGCTATTGAAACAATCTGGTTTTTAATGATGGTTTGCCTCAACTAAAAACAGTGTCATTTTCTTTTTAAAAAGGGAATTAAAGAACCCCAATTGAACAGACAATGCTAACAGCAAAGATTAGACTCATTGTGCGCTGCAGCAGTACATACATGTGACGCTCAGATCCGCTTCTGTTGCATTCCATTCAGGAGCTCCCACAGCTTAGGGGATGCATGTAGTAAAGCAGACAGAAAAGCTTAGGACTGCTGAGTATCCTGCTTGACTGGAAATAAAGGAATAACTTTATTTTTTCTGGGGTTCCAGTTGCCATCCTCTCTCTCTATATATATGCCTCATATGCAAATTGTCCCCATGGGAGTTCAACTAGGAGACCAGGATTTCGACCGCGTGCTATGATGTGCGCTGACCACTAGGGGTGGCACTGAACGAAGGGAGGCCCCGGCCAGCAGCCAGAAGGTCCCTGATTGGCCCTAATGGCTGGCCAGGCCTAGAGATGCTACCTGTGCATGAATTTCATGCACTGGACCTCTAGTATTCTATAAGACAGAAAGATTATTGTCTGCCCTCTTGATGACCCCCTTTCTGAATTCATCATCAAAGGACACCCTCCACCCCATCAGATTGTAGGTGAGGAAGACACTGCCAATCTGTGAAGAGTTTATGGTATAACAGAGACTTAAAATAGGTATACATCCAACTCCAAAGAATACTGGGCACGGCAGAGCCACAAGAGAGTTCAGATGGCATTCCTTCAGCACCTACACACCATGCCTCAGATTGGTTCAAGTTTCATTTCCGTGTGATTTGCCTCTCTACCTGGATTGTAAATTCCTTGGAGGCAGGAAAGGCACCTTGTATTTCTTGGTCCCTCTCTCCACACTTCTTACCTAAGCCTCAACCAGTATGGATGGTTTAAATAGAGTCTTATATCCAACATTCAGATTTATCAAAAAAATGTATTAAGATGCACTTTAACTTTCTTTTCCTTTGTTCTGTGTTTGCAGTTGACCTGCCCCTGTTTTTCCCTCGAGACCAGCCAACTCTCACATTTCAGTCCGTCTACCACTTTACCAATAGTGGACAGCTTTATTCCCAGGCCCAAAAAAATTATCCATACAGCCCTAGATGGGATGGAAATGAAATGGCCAAAAGAGCAAAGTAAGTGAAACCATTGTTATTTCCTACATTGTTATTTCTGGGTAATAACATGTTCCCACAGGTAAGAACATGTTATCTAGTTCAGGGGTTGGCAAGCTGTTGCCCACAGGCTAAAGCCTGCTCTGTGCCTGTTTTTGTAAATAAAGGTTTATTGAAATACAGCCACGCCCAAACCTTTACTTATTCTCTCTGGCTATTCCCATGCTACAGTGGCAGAGTTTGTCATGGAAACAGACAGAATATAGCCTGAAAAGCCAAAAATTGCTGTTTGGCCCTTTATAGAAAAAGCTTGCCAACCCCTCATCTAACCTCATCAGATAGACCATGTTGTTGTTTTTAATGGATTATGGGATTTATCAGAAATCTACCTCTAGATAGAAATTAGAGTTGTGGATAAATGGTGTCAATGATGGAAATGTTGACAGCTGCTTTCATTTTTCCTTTCATATTTTCCTCAGCTTCAAGTAGAGCCGCATTTTCCTTGATTAAATAAGTAGCTGCACAAATAGCTTAGAACTATTGAAATTCCTATGGATGTCGGTTGGCAATTTGAGTAAGTGGCAGGTGGTTAGTACTTTATCACTTTGAATCACACAAATGAAGAATCATCTATTAGGTGTCTTCTTCATTTGCTCACTTGGTATTTACTGAGCTACTACCACATTCCAGGCAGTGTGCTCCATGCTGGGGTACAGTGATAAGCACATTAGAAATTGCCCATGCCTCTTGGGGTCTGTACCCCAGCAGGAGAGATCAAAGCCTCCATCACACCACACTTCCAACAGTGTTCAGGTTCCTGCTGACAAAACCTGGCCTTCCAGACCTAGAATGCTCTTGATTAGCAGGACTTCTTGCTCATGCCACCCCCTCCCTGAGACCTCACTCTCTCCCAGTGTACCTGTTGGCATCTCCTATACTTTCTCTAGCACAAGGCCTTCGCTCATGGCCGGATGGATGGGACTCTTAAGTAATGGTAGAGTGGCTTCTTCTGGGAACCCAGGCCCCCCAGATTCACCTGCGGAATGTAGAGCTGCTGGTATCTGAAAATGCAGTGTTCCCTTTCTCCCTGTAGCGGCCCTTTCCACCGTGACACCCACGTCTGAAATTCTACTTAAGGAAAAAGACAAGCGTGTGCAAATGTAACTAGTAACAATGATTAAGACTTGAATATCTTAAAACAGACTCCAAGGGGGATTATAAAGTAAGTTTTCATGTTTGAGGCATTGCAGTTGTTTAATTCTCTGGGATTTCCCTGTGTATATGTAGGATCTGCCCCTAGAAGATGGGCTGTTATTTGTGGTATGTGCTGTGGAGTCTGAACCAGATGTGTCTTTGTGGTTTCCATGGCAAGGCTATCTTGGTGTGTGTGTGTGTGTGTGTGTGTGTTTGTGTGTGTGAAGTAGCCAGTTAGCATGTATATGAATTGAGTCTTTAAGGAGTTGCAGACCACAAGCCTGTGATTTTAGTATGGGAATATTGTAAGCGCAGCTTGTTTATCTTAACAGATCGGTCCAGAGTTGCAAGAGATTTTTGCTTTATGTTAACACCAGTCTAAAGAAAACATCTGAAATAATGTTAAAAAAATCTGCTTTCTACTGTAGTTAGGAGGATTCATTTTAAGTGTAATAAAGGAAAAAGCCAGCAGCTTGTGTAAGGAAGAAGACAGAGTAAAAGCGCCTTCCTAAATCGAACAGAGTGGCTTCCCTGGGCGGTCTAGGAGGCTGGGCATTGGATAAACACAACCAGGGCACTGTCCTGCAGTACAGACTTGAGACTGGTGGAGGTTGAAGAGAAAGGACAGGAGGAAAGGTCAACCGCAGCACTCCCTCCACACCCTGGCTCTTTGTCCTGTGAAAATATTGTATGTACACAGTGCATAAAAGGCAATAATTCACTCCGCGAGCTCTGCCCCTGACATAAACACTCGCACAGTTTCTGAACAACAGTAGAGCCTTTGAGTGGAGCCAGCTGTTTATTCCCTCCTATAGAGCAAAATTCTAAACATGCAAACTCAGAAAGGACACTTGTTAGCACTGACGAGGGCTTTTCCCATGACATGTGCTTCTTGCTCATGGTGGTCCAGCAAATGCTGTCCTCACAAGTGAAATCCCCTCTACCGGTGAGCACAGGCTTTGAGGCCATGCATGCCCAGTTCCTCTCATAAGGTCCAATCCTGTGTGCACTGTAGCCTGGGCAGGGCTGTTTACCTCTTGAACTCCATTCTGTGAAGCAAATCTAATTCTCTATTTGAGTCTGTATTCCTCTCTATTGGGGTGGGGGTGGGGGGCTTGAAATGAAGGGTCAGCCAACGAGAGGACCTATGAGGACCCTGAGTTTAGCTTCTGTTTTGTCTTTGCTCATTCCTTTGCTCCCACTCTCTTCCTTCCCCTTCAAATCTTCCCCCTATCCAACATTCTTCCTTATGGCTTTCCCCATCCATGCTAACTTGCAGGCAGTTATTTCCCCTCTTCTTACCATTTTTTTACATATAGACAGTTATATCATCCGTCAACAGCATCACTTCTTTCTTTCCAGTTCCTATACTCTTTATGTTTTTTAAGTTTATTTTCCTTACTTGAACTGACTGCGACCTCCTGTATGATGTTGTATACAATGATGAGAGCAAACATCTGGCCTTGTATTTACACATGAAGGCTGATGTTAGCAGAAGGTTTTACATAGATGTCTTTATTACATTGAATAAATTCCCTTTTCCTACTTTGCTAAGAATGTCTATCATGAATGGGTGTTGAATTCTATAAAATGTTTTTCCTGCATCTTGTTGACATGATCCCATGGTTTTTCTTTATGCTGTTAAAGTGAATTGCATTAATTAGTTTTTGGATGTTAGACCAACCATCCATTCCAAGGATAAACAAACCTTTCTCAGTCAAATATTTTATCATTTTTTGTATTATTAGATTTGATTTGCTAAAATTGTGTCAAAATTTTTATGTCTAGGTTCATTAATGATACTAGTCTGAAATTTATTTTCTTTGTGTTGTCCTTGTCAGATTTTGATAACAGCACAATGCTAGTTTCGTAAAATGAATTGGCAAGTTTTCCTTCATCCTCTCTTCTCTGAAGGCATTTGTGTAGGTTTGGCACTATTTTTTTCTAAGTGTTTTATTTGTGGGAAGAAATTTTTTTAAAATATATATTTTATTGATTTTTTACAGAGAGGAGGAGAGAGGGATAGAGAACTAGAAACGTCGATGAGAGAGAAACATCGACCAGCTGCCTCTTGCACACCCCCTACCAGGGATGTGCCTGCAACCAATGTACATGCCCTTGATCGGAATCAAACCTAGGACCTTTCAGTCCGCAGACCAACGCTCTACCACTGAGCCAAACCGGTTTCGGCTGTGGGAAGAAATTTAATGTCTTTATTAAATATAGGAATATCCAGATTTTTTAATTTTCTTATGTTTATTTTAGCAAGTTGTGTATGTTTTTTTTAAATATATTTTTTATTAATTTCAGAGAGAAGAAGGGAGAGGGAGAGATAGAAACATCAGTGATGAGAGAGAATAATTAATTGGCTGCCTCCTATATGCCCTCCACTGTGCCCTGATCGGGTCTCAAACCCTGACATCAGGGCAATACACTCAACCACTGAGCCATGCCAGCCAGCTGGATGTGTCTATGTTTGCTTTTTAAGGAATTTATCTATCCTAAGTTTTTGCATAATTGTAATATTTCCTCATTTTTTTCTTTTATTATCCATAGGAACAAATTGTCACAAATTTAACAGCTGAAATAGCACAAGTTATCTCTCAGTTTCTGTTGTCAGGAGTCCAGGACAGCATGCCTGCGTTTTCAGGTCAGGGTCCCCTATGACTATGATCAGGCCTCAGTGCGCTCATTCAGGTTCTTGGCAGCATTCGGTTCCTTGTAGTTTTAGGACTGAGGTCCCTGTTTTCTTGCTGGCTGTCAACTGTAGGCCATTCCTTGCCATGTGGTCCCCACTGTTGTCAAATCAGCAGTGAGTGGTGCTCAGCTTTTTCTCATGTTTCTGACTTCTCTGTCACTGACCTCTGTACCCAGATTTAAAGGGTCCCTTTGATAAGGTCAGGCCTACCAGTTAACCTGCCTTTTCTAAAGACATCTGTCCCATCCTATATAATAAAAGCCTAATATGCTAAGTGTCAGGTCATCTAGTTGGCCATTCAACCAATCAAAGTGTAATATGCTAAGGCCACTCAACCGCTCACTATGACGTGCACTGACCACCAGGGGGGCAAATACTCAATGCAGGAGTTGCCCCCTGGTGGTCAGTATGCTTCCACAGAGGGAGCGCTGCTCAGTCAATAGCCCTGAGCCAGGCTCACGGCTGGCAAGCACAGCTGCGGTGGCTCCATGGCAGCACTAAGGATGTCTGAATGACAGCTTAGGCCCACTCCTCATGCTAAGCCATCAGTCAGGCATCCCCCAAGGGCTCCCAGTCTGCGAGAGGGCTCAGAGAAGGCTGAGGGGTGACCCCTCCCCCGCTCTGAGTGCATGAATTTCATACACGGGGCCTCTAGTGTAACATAGACCAATAATAGGAATGAAGTCCATCATTGTCACAGTCCTGGGGATTATTCAGGAAGTGTAAACCAACGGTGCAGAATCTTGAGGGGTATCTTGGAATTCTGCCTACTACATGACAATATGTAGGTGAATTGCCCAGCCTAGGGTCTAGCACTCAGTAAATGTTAACTCTCAGCAGCAGCACCCCTGAAAGAATGCTGCTATTTTTTTTTTTTTTAATGTAACAGCCAACATGGCTGCCCTCACAGGTGCCCAGTAAACAGTTCTCCAGCCTCAGTGACTGGGCCAGGGATTCTTACATTCTAGGCTGCCCATCCAGGGCTGCTGTTCCCTGTGGTTGTGTCTCCTGGTGACAGCACAGCCAGCATGGAAGTGGGAAAAATCTATCCTTCAGTTATTTAAGCCACATAAACCCAACTATCACTTTAAAAAAATGAACCCACTAGTTACCTACTTGCTAACTTGTA